GGCGGGGGTCGGCGAGTCGGCGGCGGCGGCGGCGGCGGTGGCGGCGGCGGCGGCGGCGGGGGATGCCTCGCCTGCGTCGCTCTTACGGGGTCTGCCGCGTCCCTTCCCTGCAGTGGTTGGGGCCATGATGAGAGTCAGGGGTTTGGGGCAGCGATTTTTGTGAGAATTTTTATTTTATTTTTTTCTTAAATTATTTCTCGCCGCAAAATCGCCAAAATTCGGGCGAAATTGTGCCGGAAATAAATGGGCGACTCGGCTCTGTGTGCAATAACGAGCGCCTGGATGATTTTGGTGGTGGTTGATTTTGTTTTGAATTTTCTTCTTTTTTCCCCCCTCTCGTGGTCTGCGTCCCCGTCCTGGCTATCCCTTTTATATGGGAACTGGCTGGCATACAGGCGGGCGCTACTGAAACGCGTCCCAATCGCGTGGCGTGCAGGCAGGGAAGGTCATTAAAAGTGGGGCGTTAATGACAGAAGCAACCTAGGAATGGATTGTCGGAAAGGAGCACCAAGCTCCTGCGAAGCTCGGAATCCATCCATTCCTTGGGCGCGTTTTTAGCCTGAAGCTCGCACAGCATTGTCAACAAGCAGGGGCGGGCACGCGGTCGAGCAGGAGGAAGAGGAGGAGGCGGCTTGTTAAGGGGAGAACAATCTATCGACAATAAAAGCAGCATCGCGAAAACGGCTTTTTTGTGCAGTGAAGACGCGGCGGGAGTTGAGAAACGACTCGGAGTGCACGTTTCTGTTTGGTCGGACCCAAACGGCGCTGATGCCGCTGCTGTTGGTTCAGGTCTGGGGCTGGCGCCACTGCTGCGGGTGGGGAGGTGTGCCCCACTCAACAGCTCCCTGGCTGGTGTCTGTAGCTGTCTCCATCCAATCTGAGCAGAGCTGTTCCTGGCCGTGGTCGATGGCGTCGATTTGGCCCTGCATGCGGCACTGGTTTGAGTCGGATCAGAACCCCGCGACAAGACCTCCTCCATCGTGGCCGTCGAGCAAGGACCGACGACATCACAAGGTCCCGTCATCGCCCTCGCCTCCCTCACGACACCACCGGCGCCAATGGCGACCGCAATACCTTCGATCGCATGCCTGGGGGTGATAGGCAGAAATGTGAGCCATCACCCATCACCCACAGAGTACCAACCACCAAACGAGGATCAGTGCCCCCTTTACTAACGAGGCCACCGCCGCCCAAACAAAAGAACAACCCCCTCCACATCTCCCTCTTCCCGTCCCACGACCCGGCCACCAACACGCTCGCGCCCGTGCGCACGCCGCTGCAGTTCAGCCTGCTGCTCTCGTCGACCCTCGACGTCTTTGAGCTGCGCGCCCGCAACCACGCCGCCGGCGGCACCGGGCTTAGCGGCGACCTGGGCCTGCTGCATGCCGTCGACGAGCGCCTGGCCGCCTACGGCTTCGAGACCAACACGGGCGTGCGCTTCGTCATCGTCGTCGACATGCGCGGCCGCCGCGTCGACGCCAGCGTCGCCGCCGCCCTCGGCGGTGCCACCCCCGCCTCCTCCTCTGCCACCGGCGGGGATGCCAAGGGGGGCGGCGCTGCCGGGGGTGTCGCGGGTGGGGGCGCCGCGGCGATGGGGAGGGCCGCCGCCGCCGTGGGTCTGAGAGAAGGCGAGATGAAGCCTGTGAGTCTGCTCGGTGGGAACCGAAGGAGCAGCACGGGAAATGCATCGGGGACCAGTTCTGACTCCTCCGCGTGCAAACACACCAGGTCTTCAGGGCAATGCAAACGGCCTACATTAGGCTTCTGCAGAACCCTTTCTTCGAGCCCGACGAGCACTCGCCCCCTGGCGAGCAGGGCGGCAAGAAGATCACGAGCCGCCGGTTTGCCGACGACATGAGGCGGATCGGTGAGGCGTGGACCCCCGGCGTGACGAGCCTGTAATGGAGTTCTCTCCTGTCTTTTATGCATTCATGACGGCGTTTCTGCTCTCCCACTTTGTTTCCTGACGGATGAACCTGGAGTTTTTGGCGTTTACAGCTTACGGAGCGGGGAGTTCTCGATAGAGCCTTGTGATTCCATCTTGAATAAAGACATTGTTCAGGACTGCGCTAGGTACCCGTCTACTCCATATCCGAAGATGACGACGCTCTCAAAGCTCATTCTTCAAGCTAAAAATCTCAAACCGGACGCCGTCCTTCCCGCGCCAGACGTCCTCGCTAACCCGGGCGACGGAGCCCCAACCCCTGACGAGAGCCCTCCAATAGCACGTCTCGGCCGCGGGGCTGAAGTAGCCCCCGCCTACAAACAGCTGTCGTTGTCTGGTTGCGATCCCCTCGGCCACCTCAGGATGTGCCTCGAGCCAGGCCACCGTGGCGGCCAGGTCCGACCAATCCGGAGCGACAAAGACGATGTTGGCCTCAGACGCCGCGTACCGCACCGGCCAGGACCGCCGCGTCCGCTCCGCCACCGCCGCCCCCTTGCGGGAAGCGCCGCCGCCGCCGCCGCCGCCGCCACCGAGGAGCGAACGCGAGAAGACGGGCCGCAGCAGGTGCGACGTGTGCTGCACCCACATCAGCGGCGGCGTGAGCACGACGCTGCGGCACATCTGCAGCAGCTGGAACCGCCCGCTGTAGGCGACACCCTCGGTGTGGATCACGTACCGGTGCCGGCAGAAGTCGTGGATCGGCAGCGCCGTCGTGCCGTTGAGCGGGAGCACGTCTGCCCACCCCGCGCCGCCGCCGCCGTCGTGTCCGGCCGTCTTGAGCAGACCCCTGCGCAGGCCCGGCTGCAGCGCGCTCTGAAAGTGGGCCGTGCCGCGCCAGACTGCCGTGGGGACCTTGTCTTTCCAGCCGCCGCCGTCGCCGCCGCCCCCACGGTACCGAGCTTCGAGGCCGTCGATGGCGGCCGCTGCCTCGTCAAAGGTGCCGCCGGTGATGTGGCGTAGCGGCCAGGCCCAGAAGGAGAAGTGCGGCATGAGGAACGAGCGGCGGCCGCTATCGTGCTGCCCGCCGCCGCCGCCGCGGAGGTGCGGGTCAGCGGCGCGGCTGTACCCGATCGAGGCGCCGGTGCTCAGGGGCGAGTCCTGGAAGTTGATGGTGAAGACGGTGTCCGGGATGGGCTCCGGGGAGGTGATGATGGCGCGGTGGAGCTGGTGCAGGGCTGCGGTTCTGGACTGGTGCAAGTCGATGGCGTCATTGGCTTTTCTGTTCCCCAGCAGCGGCGGGAGGTAACGGGAACGGGCAAACTTACGTTGAGCATCTCAGCTGAGAGGTCTGATCTCCGCTGGGCGTTCACGACATAGATCTGCAGATAACGCACGGCCGGGGTCAACTGGACTGTGCAGCACTACATACCGACTCTGCACGCTCGCTCCTGTGTTGGCCGACCAACCTTGCCGTCCTTGATTCTCCCCTGCAGCGGCCCCGATGCACCGGTATCCCTGACATCGAAGGGCCCCTCGGCGACGACGTCGTCGATGGACTGCATCAGGCCGGGGAAGGAGTCCCGGCACTGCTGCTCCGTCAGAGACAGCGACGACAAGGGCGGTTCAGTTGACGATGAGCTGTCCAGCGACGTGCATCTTCTTCGCCCCATCAGCCACAGCGCCATGTGGTAGATGCAGAGGCCGACGGCAAGCGAGACGATGGCCTGGCGGGCTTGCCTGCTGCGGGACTGCCTCAATAGCATCTGGGCCGTTGTTTTCGTGTTGCTGCCCATGGAGGAGGCGACGTGATCATTGCTTGCTGGGGTTCTGGTCAAAATCGACAACATTGGGGCAGATAGGCCAAGTCTACCATACTCATCAAAATGTACCTAGTCCGCCCACAGCACGTTTACCACCGGGCAAAATATCTATGTGGCAAGGGGCGGAAGCTTGAACACCGTTTTTCTTCTAGCAGCATAGTAGGATCCTAGATGGTGTATGCATTGCAACATGCTTATTTTCTCTTTTCAGCACCTAGATCCTGGCACTCGTGCTCTTCTTCGTCTTTGGAGTGGTCCTAGCCGTACATAAACGTACATGACCAACGCAGGAATGCTGCCATCATAACCACAGTTGCCCCATAGCTCTGGCTGGGTGGTCTTACCGGCCAAAATCGCCGCTGCTGGGCTCGGCATATCTTGCTCCGGAGGCTGTTCTGGTGCCATCAGGGTGTCATTCCCTGGTTGGTCACCGTGGCCAACCAAGTTTGAGGGAAGACTCGCAATTGGCTGGCCGAATGAGGGGTCTCGAGCTTGGCTGGAAAATAAAAGCTAATAGGGTCCCCAAAGGGTCGCACTCACTCCGCATGCAACGAAACTTGATTTTGAGGGTGTGGTGTGGGAAACGAGAGGGCGGGAGCGAAGCTGCCACCAGCGGCTTACTCTCCGCCCATTCCTCGGCTTTCCTCCTTTGCTGCCACGGGCGACGTGCTAGTCGTCCGTCAACCAAGCCTTCTCCCCGCCCGGTAACCATGAACGCAGATCCGGGGTAGGCTTAATAGCCGCGATATACGTAACCCTGCGTACATCGCATTGCAGAGCTATGTTGGCTGCCACGTCCATGTGGTGTGGTGCAGGGTGGCGGGCTGGACAACCCCGAGGAACTGTGTCTACCTGCACATCCATCAAGAGAAGCGTGCAGCAAAATAGGAGGAAAGCCGGGATTCGTATCGTTTTGCCATCTCCCAAACGGAGACAGGCCACCAACTCTTGCATCCCCAGCGCTCCCGCCGTTAAGACCCGCCCTCTCTCCGCCTCAGCTCGGCGGCGCTGAACCGCCCGAGGCCCGCGGGCTCGTCCAGGGCGAGCGAGGGGCCCACGCCCTCGCCGCCGGCAGCGGGGCCCGCGGTCCTGGCCGCCCAGTGCGCGCGCGGGCCGAGCGGCGTCGAGGCCGCGCCTCCCTCCCAGTGCCTGGCTGCCGGGGGCAAGGGCCGCCACCAGCCGTCGCCCGCGCGGGCGTGCCAGCGCGCGCCGCACAGCTCCCACAGGCGGCTCGCGGCGCGGCGGTAGGCGAACCGCTCGTCCTCGCCCGTGAAGGCGCCCGTGTCGGAAAAGTTGACGGCGGCGGCGGGGGTTCCTGCCTTGCGCTTGTTTCCATCGGCGCCGTCGTCTTCAAGGACGAAGTCTGAGTCCTGGTCTGGGTCGTAGTTCGCTGTCCGCGCGCCCGAGGAGTATGTGGAAATGTTGGGACGAAACGGTGAGAGCTGGTCCTGGTATCTGTCAATATTTTCTTTTCTGTCAGCTTCATGTCTACAAGATAACAAGCACAAAGTAGAGACACTTACACCTCGGCAATTGTCTCCGAGTATGTGGCGTCGTCGGGGCTAGCAGACATAATCTCGCCGCCACCCAACGTCGGCTCTTGGTTATTCATCTTCCGAGGTCTAGTGTCCGGAAAGAAAATATCGTCAGGCCCGGCTTCGGCGCGTATTACAAGTTTACACCTAGCCTCGTATAGAGCATCGAGCAAGGTTATAAACCTCCTAGCCTCGTTCTTGCGCGTTGTTGGCAGGATAGGCACACCGTCCACGACGAAGGTGTGGAAGTTTGACGCTAGCGTGATGTAGTCCGCCGGCCCAAACGAGGCGACTAGGCCTGAGAATTCCCAGAGTGTGACGCCCTTGTGCTGCTTTGGCACGGATACTGGCCTACCGTAAACCACCAGGGTCGTAGGCTCCCAAGGGATAGAGTTGGAGTCCGTGGATGATGGGATCACGGCTGTGACGGCTGCGTCCCAGACTCCATCATCCGTAGAGTTCAGGATATACATGCTCGGCATGGCGCTTTTGGGGCCGTCGAGAGCCTGGGTCTGAGAGTCACAATGTAGAGATTTGGGCCCCCCTTCTCTGGCCGTAGCCCCTGAAAATACTAGGCCCCTAATAGATGACGAAGCCGCCGAATCATCCACCACATTTTTACCGATAGCCTCAGACTTAGCATCTCGCCGTCGCCAGTCCCTGGACCCTTCGATATGCACAAAGTCGCACCTGGCCTTGAGGACCTCGAGAAAGGCGGCAAAGTCGCTCGTGGCGCCGTACAGCTCGCCGCTCCCGCGGCCCCCAAACAGCTTCCCGATCAGGCCGTTGGCGGGCGGGGTGAAGACGGCGCCGGTGGCGCGCTCCAGCTCCTCGGGGACGCGGTTGGACGAGGCGACGAGGACGCCACCGAGCTGGAAGAAGGCGACCATGAGGCCGCTGAGCAGCTTGATGGCGGCGCGGTCGGGCAGTTGGAACTCGTCCAAAAACAAAATCGGGCTGGCCTCGACCATCTCCTTGGCCAGCCACATGACCGAGTACTGCAACAGGTCGTCGTTCCCTATTGCTGCTCCCGCGTTTTTGCTGGCACTTTTAGAAACGGCAGCAACAGCAGCAGGGTGCTGCCCCTGGTGCACATGCCTCGACCCGCCTAGTTCCTCCTGCTCGCGGCGGAACTGCTCAAGCCTGGAGAGGGCGTGCAGCATAAACGCGTTGAAGTGCCAGCGCCGCTTCAGGCGCGTGGGCAGGCCGTCGGCCAGCAGGTCCAGCAGCATCGACTTGCCCGTGCCAACCTCGCCCGAGAGGAAGAGGCCCCTGGGCGAGTCGGCCTCGGCCGCGGCCTGGTGGCTCGCCAGAACCCGCGTGAGCGCCATGGCGTCGCCGCCGCCGCCTGCCCCGTTGCCGCCGCCGCCGAGGAGGCGCGCGAACAGCGGGTTGCGCCAGATGGGGTGGTTCGGCACCGCCAGCTCGGCGCCGTGGAGATCGCGATCCACATCCTGGGCGGCGGCGCGCGCCGCGTGGACGGCCTGCGACACGCGGCGCAGGCGGGCGCGGTACTCGGGGGAGGGCACGTAGTCCTTGAGGTGGCGGTACAGCTTCTGCAGGTGCAGGGCCAGGCGATGCTGGGCCGGGTCCGGGAGGTAGACGCCGGTTAAGACCAGGGACTGGTACTTGACCAGGGGGTCGGTGATGGCCACCGCCGTGCCTACGCCGCGTCTCATATTTCAGCCTGGCATGAGATGCGTATCTGAGATATTGATGTTGGTGGTGTAGCAGTCATGAATGTGTGGATTTCAGGGTCAAGTATAGCTGGACTACACTGAAAGTGTGGGTCAAAGTCCACCAAGACCACTGTTGCACGTGCTGCGATTGCTATCGTTCAGGGGCGTATCTGAACAAAATTATAGTTGTCAACTTGCACAATTTGATGCTCCTATGACTGAGCTTTCGAAAGCTGGACCATATACCTATTACATCATAAGAGACAGCCACTGTCAATGGCAACTGTCCATGCTACTCGGAACCCACTGGCCACTTGAACTGCGGCTTAAAAGGCACCCGGAACGACCACTCGCCCGACCCGACCAGCTTGACGTCCGTCTCGCCCGACTCGCCCGGCAAAGCGACCTCCATCTCCGTCGTAGGCGGCACAACAACATCCACGGCCAGCGTCAGCCCCGCCTCGGCCTCCCCCTCCAGCCTCCACGCGCAGGCCACCTTGCCGTAAGGCGTCAGGTGCTCGGCCCTCGCCCAGCTCACCGCGCCCGGGCCGGCGAAGAGCAGCACGGGCTCGGCGCGGGCGCGCCTCCAGCCCGGCTCGAGCCTGCGCAGGCCCGCGAGCCGCTCGACCATGAAGGCGACGACGGCGCCGTAGGCGTAGTGGTTGAAGCTCGTCATCTCGCCCGGGTTGATGCTGCCGTCCTCGAGCATGCTGTCCCACCGCTCCCAGATCGTGGTCGCGCCCATGGAGACGGGGTACAGCCAGCTCGGGTTCCTGTCGCAGAGCAGCATCGAGAGCGCCACGTCGGCATGCCCGCCTTTATCGCCCTGCTGCTGCCGCCGGGCTAGCGCCTCGCACACAAACGGCGTGCCCGCGAACCCGGTGCCGACCCGGAAGCCGTTGCGCCGCACCAGCTCGGCCAGGCGCGCAGCGAGCCGCGGCTCCTCAGCCTTGGGCAGCAGGTCGAAGCAAACGGCGAGCGCGTACGCCGTCTGCGCGTCCGACGTCATGCGCCCGTTGGCCGCCACGTAGTACTTGGCCGCGAACTCGGCGCGCGCACTCTGCGCCTCGGCCCGATATGCGTCCGCGTCCGCGTCCCGGCCCAGGAGCGCGGCGATCTTGGCCGTGTAGTCGAGCGAGTGGATGAGGAAGGCGTTGGCGACGAGGACCGCGTCCGTCTGCGCCTTGGCCGGGTTGTCGGGCGGCGATTCGGGGTCGAGCCAGTCCTGCAGCCGATATGATTAGAAAATCTTGGTCTCAACGGCATATTTGCAGAGGTGGGGGGCTGATACTCACTCCCAACTGTTGTCTGTCTCGATCCCAAAGATGCGTAGATTCGTTGTCCCGCGGGATGACTGCTAGCCAGTCCTTGATGGAAATATACTGCTCCTCCAGGATTCGAATGTCGCCCGTCGCCTCCCACATGGCCCAGGGCGCGAGAACCACGACGTCGTTCCATATGGCCCAGGGGAGCCCTCGCCCGAATTCCTTGGGATGCTCTCCATTCCGCCAGATGTCGGGGCTGACCAGGGGCGGCACGCCCTTGTAGTTTTTCTGGTCTGCCCGCACGCCTGCGAGCCAGTCGCGCAGCATTCCGAAGGAGCCGTAGAGGAAGTTGGCTGTCGGGGCGAAGACGGCCAGGTCGCCGGTCCAGCCGAGGCGCTCCTCGCGCTGCGGGCAGTCGGTCGGGATGGAGAGGAAGTTGCCGCGCATGCTCCAGCGCGTGTTTTCGAAGAGCCGGCACAGCCGGTCGTCGGAGCACGCGAACGAGCCGCGCGGCTCCATGTCCGTGTGGCACACGATGGCCTCGATCGAGGCCTCGAGGTCGCCCGACTCGGCCGGCCAGTCGTCGACCTGCGCGTACCGGAACCCGTGGAAGGTGAGTCGGGGCTCGTACGTCTCCCCGGCCTCGTCGCCACGCATCGTATACCTGTCCTGCTGCTCGGCGCCGCGCAGGGGGCGGGTGCCGAGCTCGCCCTTCTCGAGGACCTCGGCGTGCGAGAGGAGGATCGAATGGCCCCGCGACCCTCGTAACCCGACGCGGAGGAATCCCACCAGGTTCTGTCCAAAGTCCAGCACGGTCTTGCCCGACGGTGTCGTAATCTTGGCCACCGGCTTGATCGTTTGGAGGCGGCGGACCGGCTCGCTCGAGCCCCGTCTGAGGTGCACGCTGTCCGGCAGCGGCGGGAGCACGTCGACCGAAGCCCACCCCTCCGTCTTGAGGTCGGCAGCACTCGACCACCCGTCAATCTCGGCCGTGGCGTCGTACTTCTCGCCGTTGTAGATCTCGGCGAGGCGTGCCGGGCCGCGCGTTGTCAACCAGGTCTTGTCGGTGGCGACCGTAACTGTGGAGCCATCGGCCATGGTGACCTCGAGCTGGGCCAGTAGCGCGGTGCGGTCTCCGTAAACGTTGCGCTTTCCGCCGCCGAACCCGAGGCGGCCCTTGAACCAGCCCTCGGCCACCCTCACGCCGATGCAGTTGGCACCGGCCTGCAGGTGTTCCGTCACATCGTACGTCTGGTAGGCGAGGGCGTCGTAGTACACCTGCCAGCCCGGCGCGAGCACGTAGTCGCCCACTCTGCGCCCGTTGATCTCGGCCTCGTATACGCCCTGCGAGGTGATGTAAAGCCTGGCCGACTTGATGGTTGCCGCTGCCTCTGGTGACCCCAGGGTGAAGGTTTTGCGGAACAGGTCCTCGGGAAGGGGCGTGGCTGGGTCGTTTCCGGCCCAGGGCGCCGAGATGAGGCTGGCGGTAGCCCACTCATCCCTCGACAGTAGCCCAGTCTCAAACCACGACGGCTCGCTCCAGGCTGTCCACTCGCTAGCCCTGCCCTTTGGTCGGGCCCGCACGCGAGCGGAGATGGTCTGACGCGAGCCGGCCACGGCCGTGCCGTCCGGCTTCAGGGGCCATGGGACGAGCTGCGACTCTGGAGACTCGACCCGGACGGAGCCCAGCTCCGTCGTGATCCCGTCAGCGAGCGTCGTCCTACTCAGCTGGATCTCGTACTCCTCCTGACAGAACCCGGTCGGCGCGTTGGCGAAGCGCCACGACAGACGAGGCGCCGTCTCGTCGACGCCGCGCGCATCGCCTGGGCGGTGGTGCTCGAAGCGAACGTCGACGACGGCGACTGGGGATGGGTCAGGCATTGTGTCTTTTTGGGATGAAGCAGTTTGCTGCAGATTCATAGGCTCTCCCTTGACAGGAAGGACGGGCGTGGTTTTGTATCCCGGGGGACTAACGCGTTTAGTACACAGCTCCAACGTCGTCGAAGGGCACCAACTGCTGTCAAAGGTACATGAAATGTGCTGTCGCACCAATGATGGCCCGAAATCCCCGAGTTCCTGTCTCCTGAGCAGCTGGAGACTTCAGAGCCCACCTTGCCCCCAGAAAGCCCCCGCAAACGGCCCCCGCATGACGATGAATCGATGGGATGCCCCGCGTCCCATCGGCCGAGTTCCCAGCGAGGCGGGCCCGCTGCTCCTCTGGCTGTGCTGCTAATAGTCTTGCGAGCCGGCAGTGCAGTACCCCCGTTTGCAGCCCTCGCATAGATGTCTCAGGTGCGGAAGCCCCCCCTTTGGATCGTACGCAGGCCTCGTCGTGGCAACACCGGCCCACTTCTTGAGTCGGTAGGCGACCCTCTCAATATATGACGCCTCGTCCACTTCTAGAATGCCCAGCTGATTGCAGGCTTTGCAGCGCTGCCTGAACACGAGAGCATTGTAGCCGTTGTTCGAGAATCCTTGGATGTGAATGCCGACTCTCTTGCTACCCCAGCCCTTCTTTGAGCATTTTTCGTTGCAGCATGAAAATCCGCCCATGACGTTGGTATCGTATTTCTTGTTGGCCTCCTCCGCTCCAGGTGCGTTGAACCACGGTGTCGGGTAGATGGGCTCTCCGGACAGTGCTGCCACGACATCCTCGTGAAGAGATGGGTAAATGACGACCACATCTTGCAGGGCCACCTCCTTGCCCACATCTTGGAGGGCCACCTCCTTGCGGTTCTTGGGCTTCTTGCCGCGCGCCATGTCGAAAGCCGAATATTTCAGATGGATATGGGTAGTCGAACTAAAGGTCGATTTCAGTTGATTGGGGGCTCTGGGCGAAAAGGGCCTCAGCCATAGCCGCCGAAGCCGTAGGTTGATTGAAGCGAGAGAAAAGAGAAGAGACATGCAGGGGCGCTTTGTTGATGATATGGACTTGGGGTCGGGAGAATATCGTGCACAGTCGAAACGAGAGAAAATAGAGGACACATCGAAAGGCACTGCGCTTAGGATATGAACCAAGGGATGAGGGGAAGGTGGCCCGAGGCCGTTTGTTCCCTGACCGACGGGAGGACATCACAACGCAGATTGGCGACAGTGAGGTGGTGGGCCTCCCGCATGGCCGAGATGCGGGTGGCCGGCTGAGTACCGTGTTGCGGTATATGAATGAATCTGAATGGACGAGAGGAATAACCTGGACGTGTTGATGCTGTTAGTGTTTTCATCACCTGAGACCTGACACAACCGACAGTCAGATGGTTTTCTCTTTTCTCCTTCTATTGGATCATATCCGGGTGGCCTCGCGTTAAGTTTCATGGCCTTGCATCAAGATGCCACTTATACACATCATCTACTGCTTTGTGTTCTATGCTGTGGTGTCGCCGCTGCTGAGGGAACAAACGGTCAATCCGGGTAAGCACGCCGGCCTCCATGTTTCTGCCTACGCCCTCCTTTCTGGGCCCTACCTTGTTGCTTGTTAGTCTTGCCCTAGGGTTACAAGAAGCGCGGGCCCTGATATCTCCTGCGCGATCCCGCCCAAAGCCGCTGGCGCCATCACAGTGACGACATCGTCATGTACAGAACCGAGGTACCACCCAAAGGCCCGTCCAGTGCTGCGCTAGTTCAGCCTCGTTGGTTTCGCAGATCCATGCTTGACCCTGCTTTTTTAGTACTAGCACGGGGCGTCTGCCTTGGGCACGTGGGCGCCTCCCTCAGCCCGTCTCAATCTTTTAGCATCGACGCGTCCGACAGGGGAAGAGCAGGCTCCCGGCATTTGGTTATGAGGATCGACGAGAAGAGGGGCGAAGAATAAAGCATTGATATTTCTTTCACCGATTTTCCAGACATGTCGTCCTTTATCCTACTTGCACCAATGCCCTCCGACGCATCTCAATGGCCCCTCAAGATTTGCAGGGGTTGATTCCAAGCATCAAACGCCTGGAATATCTGATGCCGCTGGTCGCTCTCCCCTTTTTCGGCCTGCGCATATTCACATCTTTGCGCATCTTGAGAAGGTGGAAGATTGAGGACAGTATGACGGCCCCTCCCCTCCCTTCCGTCCCATTCCATCCCCCGTCGGGCCTCCTCCTTGACAGCGGACTAGCCCGATCCGTCGAGCCGAACCTGACGTTCTTTGGATAGCCCTCATCGTAGTCGCATTTGTGAGTTCTCCCGCAGCTCACGGGCCACGAGCCGACTGCATTTGCTAACGGCGAGGCCACCCAAAGTTCTTTGCCCTGGTGAACTTCGTCTTGACTCCCATTGGTATGTCATGCTGCTTCCGACCTGGTCGCGACTTCCCGAGGGCTTCTCGACGATGTCCTATATTGATGGACACCATCGCAAGGGATTACATGACCGCAAATGTACTCGAACAACAGGGAGATGGTGGCCCTGAGGGTGTCGTACTCTTCCAGGTGGGTTCGCAAGTTCTTGAAGTAAAAGAAGGCCAATTACCTGCACTCCAGTCTACATATCAAGAATGAGGTACGAAGGTATAAAGGAGAACGTGGCTTGCTCTAACAACCTCTTAACGGCACCGCCACATCGAAGATCTTTGGCTACGGCTGTGTCCCCTCCTTCGCATTATCGACGGGCCTGTCTAAGGTCTCGGTACTCTACTATCTGCTCAACTTCAGCAGCACCTCCAGGAAACTCTTCGTTTTCATCCATGCAGCAGCTATCATCACGGGGGTCTACTGCGTTGTCTCGGCCATGGTGTCCATGATTTGTATCAATAGCGCCTCTATGAACCAACGCTGCTCCCGCAACCAGGTCATCCTGATATGCGGCCTGCTCAACTCCGTCGGCGACCTCGTCGTCCTCATCCTGCCGTTCATCATCCTGCGCCCGCTCCACACCACGCCGATGCGTAAAGTTTCCATTTTGATGGTCCTGCTCTCAGGAGGGTTGTATGTAGCACAACCCATCCAGTCCTCCGGGAGCAGCTCGACACCACTAATAGTAGAGACAAACCTTCCAGCGTCGTCGGCGTGAGCGTCTACCGCTTCCTGCACTCCCTGTTCATGGCGATCAACATCGACAGCGATTTGGACTCGTGGCTCGAAGACGAAACGTGGTTCGCCATCGAGCTCTGCTCCAGCATCGCCTGCGCGTGTTTGCCCTTCATCACGCCCTTTGCTAGGCACTGCAGACTGGAGTGGCGGAGAGGTGCCAGGACCAAGATCAGCGACGAAGCCCCGGCGTACCGCGGCGGGCGGCTGTCTCGCAGACCCAGCCAGCCGCATCAGCCAGCCCACGATGCCATCTCCAAGGCCACTATGGAGGGCCTCGACAGCTCCTACGTGCGCCGCCCCCAAAGCGGCGGTGACGGCGATATTGAGCTGCTCACGCTCCCTGGCAGCACGGAAGAATCAAGTCGTGTTAGCCACCACGACCCTGAAAGCATAAAAGACAAGCCCCTGGCATGTTTTTGGAATTCGGGCATCAACTCCACAGCAGCACTTCCTGGGGGGTATCGGTATCCCAAGGAAACTCAAATAAGCGCGCGTCCAGTGAGAGAAAAGAGTTGTGATTGGGGGGAAATGTACACTAGAGTTCCAATTTGAGCCATATCAGGACTGACTTAGTCTTGATTCGTACTGTTTCTTCTCCTTCTTAGCGCTAGATACCTGACACCCGCCTCAGTCGTCGCTCATATCGACATCGTTTTGCTCTCTGAATGTCTGGTACGACCTGCCACCATCACCACCAGCCAGCCCAAAGATGCCAGCCGCGCCTCTCGACTGATATCCGTCCCCGTATGCCCCCTGGCGCCAAGTTTCGCGCGCGAACTCGCCACCGCTGGCTCGCTCGTGGGCGCCGTAAGGCCGTGCCGTGAAGCGTCCCCTACCGCGCTGGCTGAACCTGGCGATGGGGCTGTTGGGTGTGAAGCTGCGGCCAGAGGAGGAGCTGCTGGGCGAAAGCGTTTGAGGGGAGCGGAAAGGAGTAGAGATGTGGACCCTGTCGCCGCCGCCGCCGCGCATTGCCGCTGAGTGCTCTGGGACGTGGGTGCTTGACGGGTGCTGCTGCCGGGAGGGCGCCGCCTCCGCCGAGCTCAAAGACGCGGACGAGCCCCCGGCCTCGCTTCCGGCCTCCTCGGGCTCGCTGTCCATTCCCCGGATGTGCTGGTCCACGTGCTCCTTGATGAGCTTCCCGAGCCGCTTGCTGGTGAACGCCTTCTTCAGCTGCCTTTCGACCTCGCGCTTGGCCAGCTTTTTGGCCACCCTCTTGGCTGTGCGCTCGCGCGCCCCGCGGCGGCCGCCGCACTCGGCCTCCGACCCCTCGCCGTCGATGTCCATGCTGTCACGCCCCCGGCTCCTGGCCTTGCCGTCGTGATCGCTGGCGCCGATGATGATGGTGGCGACGGCCCGGGATCCTCCGCCTTGGTGCATCGGCAGGCACTCGGCTTGCGTGTCTATCCTGATGGGCAGCATGGCTTGCGGGAAGCTGAAGTTTGTGGCGGCTTGTGACTGCGAGGGCCATGTTGGCTGCTCCTGCTGCTGGCTTCCCGGGGCTGGCGGACTGGGGACCTCGGGGTACCCATTTGTGGCTTGGGTTGAGATGGTGTTCATATCGGGCGTATATCTACCTATGATCGTTGCAGCCCTTGAGTAGCCGTAGGTGAGGTATAATCAGATAACTAGAATCTACCAAGCTGCTTTCGCCAGAGAAGTTGGGAACTTGTAGGCTCTGCCGAGTGACGGGGGTGAAGCGAGGGTTTTTGATCAGCTACGGCAGCGCATACAGATCCATTGTTCCGAAGTGCTAGATTACTGCCGAAACTTCCAGCTTTAGACAGCTCATAATGGGCGCACAACTACAAGGTGTTTGCGCATTGTAGTTTCCTGTGGGCAAGCCCAGAAGGTGATGCGAAGGAGAACAACGGGCTGGAAAGGAGATCACAATGCATATGTAAAAGAGCTTTGAGAGTTGACCATGACCGCCGTTTCGGTCACTTTGTAGTGGCGAATTAAGGGACGAACAAATCGGAAAGAAAATAGGGGGCAAACATGGTGTGCTAAGGAAAACTGCCGCGATGTGTGCTGCACAGGAGGAATATTGATCGTAAACCGAGAGGGCAGGGCAGTTTGACCATCTACAAACGCTGTGGGAGCCGCCATCAGCTGCCCGGGCTGTGATTGAGGCTATTATCGGTTCTATCATTGGTCCCGGCCGTCTTGATGTGAGGCCTACCTTGGCCGTCGAACAAAGCACAACAAACCTGCAAAAAGCTGTACTCATCCTGGGAAATGAGCACGACGAACCCCTCCACATGCGCAGCGAGCTCGGGTTCTACGCCGCCCCTAATCATGTCCTCAACACCTCAACAAGGGCGGCCCCATCCTCAAGGCCCTCAACCCCCAAATTAGCGCCGGAGACGGTATAAATATGGACCTGATCTTACCGCCCAGGCCCTTACCAACACCGTCGATAAACTAATCGAGACCCGCCGCCAGCACCTGATCCGGATCTTCACGAGAGAGCCTAAGCCTGCTGCTCATCCAATTCATTGACACTTTCCGGTAGAGCGCCTACAACAAGTGGGAAATGCACCCGCTTTCCCCCTTGTTAGGGATTTGGGCGAGCAAGGCTGGCAGTTCACGTACGAACGCGGGTGCCAGCGATGATGCGGGCTTTGGCGATCTCATAATCAAAGGTCGATGTTGCGGTTGAAAGTGACACTGGCCAGGCGGCTCATCGCTGCCATTGAATGGCTGGGTGCGTTCGACAAAGAGATATTACTCTACTCCACAGGACAGACGAGAATGGGCGTAACGCTGCTACTCTTGACAGCTGCACTCGGTCACGTCGACGTGGCTGCCTTCTTGCCCGCTCTCGGCGCCGATCAAAGTGTGCGGTCACCACCACTATCTGCGGACGTCGCTCCATATCGCTGTTGTGAATGCCGACCTGGCCATGCTCCGTCTTCTACTAGACCTGGGCGCAAACATTAAAGCGCCGTTTCAAATGGTGAGAAGAGACGCAGAGGAGATGGGGAGCTAAGTCGTTCCTGGCCCTCCAACAGCCGCAAAACTTTGACCATGGACTAGACTGCAACATGAGTGTGATGAAAGAAGAATGTCGGTCGGGCAAACATCGCGATAACTGGTAAGCTTTTTCTCTTCGGGCCTTACACGTCCTGGCACACCGAAGCAAGTGATTTCTCCATGCCCGAGCCATAATATCCTAGAGGGACTTCAATTTACCATCTACTGGATAACCTTCTGGCTCTGTCGGTTAGCAGCCGCCGAAGAAGCCTCTGATCGACGCCGAGGCCGATGTTGGCTGCCGTCGCGCTAGAAACTCGAGGTTCAACGAAATAATTCGTGCTGGAAACAATGCCCATGAGGCCGCTCTTCACTATACGCTCCCAGCTTCCGAAGACCGACCTTTACGCAAGACCAAGAGGGGAAACTATGTGGCAATGCATACACTAGACTTGAATATCGATTCGGGACACCCTTTTGCTGCCCAGATTGCTCTCTTGATCACCGCCCTGGTCAGCCTCGAGTAACGCCATTACTTTCCCACTAATGACGAAGGCCACTCAACTTCCCAATTGCTATCCAGTAGATCTTCTGAGGAACCATGCCCATTAAATCTGCTTGTAAGTGAACACAACCAAAAGCGAGAGGGGAATAAACTCAGTGAGCACAAATTTGGTAGCAAAGGGTCTGATTGGACAGCCAGGGCGATGCAGGGGAGGCGGCAGTGATAGGTTGCGGTGGGGCTTGGCAGGCGTTTATTGACCACCCAAATACAACCCTACCAACTCCGACTAGTCCAACCAACTGGTGTTATTTTATTATTTTAGCGCGGGGTACTTGGAGGTTGTGTGGAAACGAGACACTTTAGATGCCCAAGAGCAAGCCTGCATGGTAGGTAGCTAGTGGTGTTGATTGCCCCCATCTTCTGTCGAGGCCTACCTGGTCTGCTTGGAACTAGGTAACCTACTCCATCCCCCTCGCTTTCATAACTCCTAGGTAAATACCTCTCGTCCCTAGGACACAGAACCTGCCTCACTCCAAACGCAGCATCACACGAACACTCGCAGCATGTCAGCCAAACCCTCCCTTGGAGCAGCAAATCAATCCCGTCGACGAGGCACCATCACAGATGACAAGCTCGATGGCAGCGGGGGTTCTGCGCCGCCGGCCTTCTCGTATCGCGGCCTGGAGCTGGACAAGGAAAAGGGCAGCAACCTCAGGCTCGTCTCAATTGAGCCGTCTTCGACCGCAACAAACGACGACGCTATGGCCTGCACTTTGAGCGTCAGGCCTTTCGAGGACAGACCCCGGTTCGAAGCGCTGTCGTACATGTGGGGGCCGGAGACGCCCCCTGGCGAGTGCCCGGAGATCCTGCTGAACGGCGTGCGCTTCCCGGTCCGCGCCAACCTGCTCGGCGCACTGCAGTACCTCAGAAGTGAAAAAAGGGCATCTGCCGGCGAGGCGGAGCCCGAAACGAGACTGTACTGGATCGACGCCATCTGCATCAACCAGGAGGACATCGAGGAGCGCAACCAGCAGGTGCCCAGGATGAGACACATCTACTTCAGGGCCTCCACTGTCGTGGTCTGGCTCGGGGCAGGTTATGCGAACATCCAGGACCGCATCCCCGAGCTTAGCATAGAGCCCCCTTCAGTGTCAGGCGATGCCTACCCCAAGGATGAGGCGGATATGGTTCAGCGGCTACAGAACGATGCGTACTGGAGCAGGGTGTGGGTTCTACAGGAGATTGGGCGTGCTCGGGGATTGCGAGTCTGTTTTGGCCGCGTCTGTTTTCCCTGGACCAACTTCATCCAATTTCTTACTCTCCATCACGGCGTCAACAACGGCAGTGGGCCCCTGTGGCTAGACCAGAAGCTGCGGGTAGACAAGCGGCCCGGCTTGTGCACACTCAAACAGCTGCTGCAGGACCATCAGAAGGCCGACTGCTCAGAACCGAGGGATAAGGTGTATGGGCTGCTTGGGCTCGCTTCCGATGCGTCTGGCTTCCCAGTTGACTACAGGAAGTCTCTGATGACGATCTGGGAGGACACCATGGTTTTCCTCAACGTGAATCGGCTCATCGGGGATGGTTCTGAGATTATGCAAACCGGACAGCTGATCAAGTACTTGCTGGCCTCGAGAGCGCCCAACCCACTCGCACAGTTGGTGCCTCGAGGCGACACGCCACTGGTCAGGGAGGATACCCACAATGGCAGATCATTCCAGCTTGACGCAAAGTATCTTGGATCCGTGGTCTACCTGGGACCTTCCACCACCGAGTTAATCGCGCAACTCAGTGCGGTCGATGTCTGGGATGCCGCGGTGCAAGATACATTCCACGACACCGAGAGAGGGCAAGCATGTCTGGAGAGTGATCGCTTGCAAGATTCTCTATGGACCATCTCACGAGAAACGTTGAAGCGTGCATGCTTCAATCAAACAAGCAGTATCAGGTGGAGCCCGTCTCCGGTTGGTCCGGTATATTATACTGCCGAATGGAGCACCAAAGCTCGCGCGGCCTCTAGAGTTCCAGCAAGTGAGGATGCAAACACACAGTTGGAGGCGATGAGGAAGGCCCAACCTATTGACCAGAGTGACCCGCGGCTCGTCTTGCTCAAGAATTGGCCTTGGTCATATGAAGGAAACACAGAACGCAAAGTGGGCGTCGCCTCTGATAGCGTTCTCGCGGGAGACTCATTGTATTGGGTAAAGCCCTCCCGCACAGCTCTCTTGGTCCGCAGCGGATTCACTGAACCTGGTAAAGTATACTGCCAGGTTGTTGGAACGGCACTGGTGGCTGAGGACCTGGTGTCACTGCGCGACAAGCATTATCAAAATTGGGAAACGACCTACAAGGGCGATACGATCCTTGTCGATGCGATGACAATTTTTACCATCTTGGAATAGCCCTGAATCGACGTCGCGGCCAAGTCTCGTTGCAACGCTCCATACCGGGACAAAAGTAGCAATATATTCGTTTGCACTCCGATGAGGTATCTCCCACCACCGTCTGTCATGCCCTACTCATGTGGAACACGCTTGAAGACTAGGCAGTTAGCGGCGGCGACCAAGCAAAATAAAAACGTACAACACCGGGATTTCCCAGTGATCACTGACGTGGGCCCTCGTATACTTCGGCACTTAGAGAAAACCATGGAAGAAATTCAAATCGCAGGACAAGAAGGGTTTCTCCCCTCCAAAATGGGTGCCTGTTGAAAGCATCTGGAGGTTCCTGATGCGAGCGGTCAACAATACCGTTCTTGACGAGAAGAGACTCGCCGACTCCGGCCAGGAAGCCATGTGGACATTACAGTATACAAACTAAGCTTTTCGTTTGGTTCTGACTAAGGTCATAGAGACCGATGGCCGCTCATTCCCACATATCTCGCCTGATCCTCGCCCACTCCACCACCAACAGCCACCACAACACCAACCCACCCAACCGGCCTACGACCCTCTTATCATAAAAACAAAAGGAAAGCCACAGAAGGGTCCTGGAGCATTAAATCGCCCTATTTCCTGCCCCTCCATCCGTTTCAGTTCGACTGGTAGACGGCGACGTACCTAACCCTCATGGCGGCAGACAGCCCGTCGAGGGTTGCGGAGGTGGGGTCTCCCGGGTAGCCGCCGCCGACGGCCACATTGAGGATGATCTCGAACGGGTTCCACGCGACGGAGCGCCACTCGGACTCGGCGGCAAAGTCGGCGCCGCTCAGGTCGACAAAGGCCTTGCCGTCCAGGTACCACGTCAGCTTCTGCTCCCGCCAGTTGGAGCTGCGCCGATCCGACTTGATGGCCCACGTGTGCCAGTCGCCGCCCTTGTACGTGACGCGGCCGGACTTGCTTGCGTACTGGCCCTGCGCCGTCTGGTAGTGTAGCGTGCCCTGGTTGACGTTGGAGAGGCGGTTGGTGGGCTCGAGCACGTCCCACTCGCCGCGGCGGGGCCAGTCGGGCACGGCGGTGCCGCGGGCCCAAAAGGCCGGCCACAGGCCCGCGAAGTGGTCCGGGCTGCCCGTGAAGTTGGGCACCAGGACCTCGGCCTGGAAAATGACGGCGGCGCCGCGGGGGCACTGCCACGACCCCTTGCTCGTGAGCCGGGCCGAGGTCCAGCCGCGCTTGGCCGAGGCGTCGCGCCGGGGCGTGATGAGCAGGCTGCCGTCGCCCGAGAGCCGCGCGTTGGCCGTGCTGGCGCGGTACTCCTGCCACTCGCCGTTGCTGTTGTCGTCGCTGCTGCGCTGCATCACGTCCCACTTGGAGGACGAGACCGCGCTGCCGCTCGAGCCCTCGAAGTCGTCGGACCAGATGACGCTGTACCCGCTGTTGGACGGGATCGCGGCGCGCACCAGGGCCGTCGTGGAGGTGAGGACTGCGGCGACCCAGAGGCCGGAGAGGTTGGTGATGGCTACCATGGCGAATCGTGTGTTATTGGGCGGATGCTTTGCAGACGTTCCAGGAGGGTGCCGTTGGTAGAGGGGGCCGGGAGCTGATGCGAGAGGCTTGTTCTTCTGTCCCTTCTTTCCAGACAGTCTACGTCCCTCGCCTCCTCTTTATACTTCTCTCCATCGCTCCTATTGTTCTTGAGGCAAGAGCTGTGGCAAGCTAGGAGCTCTAGCCATCCACGATTTCTTGCCTCGGCAGTCTATCCAGGTTGTTGATTAGACGCAGGCAGCAGCTTACCTGGGCATCGAATAGCCGTCTACGCGAATTTCAGCTTTTGGAATGATGCGGAGGCAAACCCGGCTACCAACCAATTGCCAGATGCCGACATGGCATATATGGACCGCCGGCTGACTGTGTTCGTTGCCCCCATCATGGCGCCTTTACGGCCCCTGCATATGATTATATTGTAGGGCCTCTCTCCCGCTGCGGCGCCTTGGCTCAGCCTGTGATTGGGTCATGGTTTACAGCTGGACCTGCAGGTGCCCTGTAAACCTCTGTGGGGCTCCCACTTCTGGCGTGTACCTGAATCAGCGACACATGCAGTCCCACAATCGGGCTCTGGGAGCCAAATGTGGGGATTCCAAGTAGTAGGGGCAAAGTCTCGATGATGCACAGCTTCAAGATAGTGCCGGCTACCTTGTGAGCGATGATTTGAGTCAAACTCACTATCAGGAACTCACAGCGTTTCGTCTGCGGGTGGCACATCCCAACGCCGGCGCCTCCCCTCCCTTTTTCTCCCCTGGCCCAAAGCCGGCACGACGCCAGCGCCAACGAACCTGATGACCCATTCTCTTACCCTCCGAGCCTTCAGGAGCTGTGGGTGCAGATGGTTGTGTGGCGGCCCGGACAGTCCCTGAAGGTCCGCGGTCGAATAGTGTCCACCAATGTCATCGGCGTCCAGCTTCCTGCGATGAAGTAGGTGTATCTTGGTAAGATCTCGCCGTAGTCCATGGCCGTAGACTTTGCGCATGAAGGATCCCAGGGCCACATTGCGCATCAGCACGACATCCTGCACCCGGAGGCCGTCTAGTGGGCTTGGGCCGCCTGATGGTGGCAGCCAAAAGGTGATGCTGAACCCAGCCCGCGTCTCGTCGCCCACCAGTACTTCCACGAGGGACCTGCCGCCCCAGCGAGTCCAAACAGTACGTTTGGGCAATATGGAGATGATACCGACGATGATGTTTACCGTCATGGTCTGCGGTTCGATGCTCGCCAGGTGCTCAGCGCTGGGGAGATTGTCAAGATTATGAAGCTGGGCGGTGGCCCCTACCCCTGCGTAGAGTGGTGGCGGAGGCGGTGGAGGCTGACTCTCGTCGCTCACGACCGAAGACCCCTCCTGGGTGCTATTGCTGACGAAGGACGTCGTGGCGTCGGTGGCGAAGGACGCCTCCTCGCTGCAGAGGGCGTCCAGCTGCGAGGATGGGATATCATTGTGGGCGGCGAGCGAGCGCTCACGGAACTGCAACAGTATGCTGCTTCCCTCCCCGTCGTGGAGCCCATCTTCGCTGTTTTCCATGCGAGACGACGATGCGTCGCTTCGGAACGAGACTTCTGCCGTTGCGAAGAAGCCCGGATCCGCACGAAAACGTTCCGCACCCCATCCGAGCGCCGGCTGCTGCGAAAAGCCGCTGGCGAGGCGCCTGCGCTTAAGAGCAAGGGACCGCCATGCGGGATGGTCTGAGGCGTCAAAAGACGCTGTCAGACTCGGATCCCGGCACTGGGAGCCTCTGGTGAGCCCGGTGAGGCGGGCAATGGGCTCGGTGAAGCAGTCGATCAGGGCCGAGTCTGACCAGTCGAGCGAGTCGCTAAGCGGTGCCCCAGCAAATATCAAAAGCTTTCTTGGCATCTCGGCATGGACGGCTGGGGCTATCAGCTAGCTCGCGCCTGATCTACATACGGGAAAGAAGGTGAGGTTTTCAAAACAGTACGGGCTGCTGTGATCAAACTTTTGCGGCAGCTCGTTGATGTGCGAGCTGGCGCAACGATTTTCTTGCACGTGCAACTTCTGCAGCCCCAACATGGGGTAGCATGTGCGTGTTTTCAGAGATGAATGGGGTTAGACCAGGGCCCTGTTTGGACGAAGTTGTGATGAGCGCAGAGACAGATGCTGTGGTGTATTGCTGTGCTGTGACTTCCCCCTCTGGAGCTCCTTTGGAGGCCAGGCAGCGATGACCACAAGCCACAAGGCAAAAGGGGCGTATGACACAGTGGGGTGAGATCACGGCACTGTGTCAGAACCCCTGTTGTTGAGTTCACATGGCACCAGAGTCGGTGAAGACCCGTTTCCATCATCGATGGTGGCATTCCGAGCTGCTAAATCGACAGAAAATACGCTGTTGCTTGACAGGCACCAAACACCACAGCACCTCTGGTGTGTTGCATGCCGTAAGTCTGCATTGAGCCCTGAGCTGGCTGCAGCCGACCTGAACCGGCCTCCTGATTGTGACGCAAATTCCCCTTCCCCTCACTCGGCAGTCGCCTTGTTCAGCGGAATGGCTGCCCCCACTCCCGCCCCTTGGGATAGTGCTGCGCCCAAGGACCAGTTCTTCGTCCTGGTGACTGGCGCAAACAGGTAGGTCGGACGGCAAACCTCAGAAACACCCACGAGTCCCACCCAGCGCATCATCCGTCAGCGTCATCGGCATCTCCCGCTGGCGGGCGCCATCTGCGCGTCGGCGTGCGTGTGCTGACGTATTGGCTTGCGCTTCCTAGTGGCATTGGTCTGGGTATCGCCGAGCGCCTCGTCGACTGGTTCCTGACTCCGCGGTCGCCAGCCTCGCACCTCATCCTCATCACCACCACCCGAAGCAGACAAAAGTCCCTCCAGACCACCGAGGCCCTCCGCGATTATGTGCGCAAGGCCGTCGCCTCCAACCCGACCCTACGCGGCCGCGCCGGCCCGTCGTGCGATCCAGCATCCGTCCTGACCCGGATCCACCTGCTCAGCATTCAGCTCGACCTCTGCAAGCTGCCGACCGTTCACGCCGCCACCGAGCTACTCATGCGTGGGCCCGATGGTCCCCCCACAGAAGAGGACCTGAGGGCCGGCCGCATCCCGGCGCCGATCCCCCGCCTCGACTCCATCATATTCAACGCCGGAATTGGCGGCTGGTCCGGCCTCAGTTGGCTATCCATACCCGGTGCGATATTGAAGGACGGCCTTATCCACCAGCTAACGTGGCCGAGCTTCAAGATCAGCTACGTTGGCAACCTCGTCGACCCAATCACCGGTCGTGCCCTCACCTCGCAGCAAGCCGCCGCCGAGGGCCTCACCAGGGGGGAGCTACTGGGCGAGACCTTCACCGCCAACATCTTCGGACACTATGTCTTCGCCCACACCCTGCTCCCACTGCTTGATCGCACGCGTGAGCAGCTCGGTGCCGGCGGCCTGGCACGCGGTCGCGTCGTCTGGGTCGGCAGCGTCACGCCTGAACCCCAAGACTTTAGTATATCGGACTTCCAGGGCGTTGCTTCGCACGATTCCTACGAGAGCACCAAGCGGCTAGCCGATCTGCTGTTCCTCACAGCCGAGCTGCCACGCGTGAAGCCGATAGTGGCCAGGTACCTAACCGCAGATGAAGCAACGGCAGTGGCCGCTGCAGCGAGGAATAAGGGAGGGAAAGTGGCAGATGGAAATGGGGGCGCGTCGCCAGATGTAGTGCCCCCTCGCATATACATTACCCACCCGGGAATCGTGCAGACCACCATCTACCATGTCCCCGCCCTGCTTGTCTTCTGGTACGGCTTCGCCCTCTACATTGCCCGCTGGATCGGCTCCCCCTGGCACCCCGTGAAGCCCTACGGTGGTGCCGTGGCGCCCGTTTGGTGCGCCACAGAGGGTCAGGAGCACTTGGACAGCCTAGGCGCCGAGCGTGTCAAATGGGGCTCCTCGGTCAGCTTCTGGGGTAAGGCCGCTGCCAAGCGCACCGAAGTCGAGGGCTGGGGCTGGGACGGCCGCACAGCTGCCGAGATGGCGGCGGATCAGCAGTATCAGCGACAGCAGCGCAACGAGAAGAGGCACTGGCTCAGGGATCGGTTTGGACGCAAGAGCACCGCCGTTGACCTCAAGCCCGAGGCTCTCCAGGACTTTGAGGTCCTGGGCGCACAGTGCTGGGAGGAGATGGAGCGCCTGCGGCTCAAGTGGGATGAGGCCCTTGGGAATGGAAAGCCGCAGACCAACGGAAGGGCGCTGGCCGCGTGATCGACTTGACGAACGCACAAAATGGCCGGTGGCACTTTCCGTTACGCGATGTCAGGACCTAGCGTTGGCAGTAATCTTTCGGAAGGTCGGACACGATATACCACTTGGCAAGGAGCATATTGGGGAGCGGCTGTCAGCATTAAGCGCTGGGTTACAAAGGGAAGGGAAGAGGGCGGAATGTTATATAAACGGCCAAATTTAGGCCCTGATCATAATCGTAATCTACCATGTGACGACATACGCACTGTTATTTCCGAAGAGTTCACAAAGTAGGAGTGAAGCATGAAATCTTCACCAATATAAGCATACAATGTGGCATAATGACTTGTCCCCGTTGAGACCGGTGACGATGAAGCGAACAAGCCTATCTCTGCGCAGGCGTCGACCACATGAGCATCTTTCCCACGCATATTCTGTCAAACCGTCAAGGTCGCTCCGATTCCCTTCGGAGGACGTTGTATGTGTACCGTTCGCACCAAGCAACATGCAGGGGGACGCAGCTTCAAAAACGCGCCTGGAGGTTGACTTGCTTGGCGGTTGGCAAGGCACAAGGCTACAGGGGTGACGGCTGAGGTGTGCCGAGCCATGTGGGGAAGCGCGGGCCCGCTGACGAGCAATTGGCCAATAGCCTGCAGGCTAAAGTCAGCATCCGACGTCAGACCTGGGTTGGTTTCCGGATTAGGCATGATGGCGGTCGTTGTTTGAGTTCCTACCTCCTCCTTTCTGGCCCGAGCAACCAATAGGGCTGCGCCTATTTGCTGCTGACACTCCAAGGGGGCACGGGGAAGGAGCCCATTGGACGGGTCTTGCGCCGCTGGACCTGCAAGACAGAGGCTTCTTTGAGCTTCGTCCGCCTTTGATGGGTCCTTGGTGGAACTACGAGGGTCGTTTCGGGGTCTGCTCTCTTCGAAGGATTTTTACCTGCCATGATCTTTATTGAGAGGGACTTGTCCGGTGGTTTGTGATAAGAGAAGGGCTTTTTGGTGGAAACCTTTCGAAACCAGACTTGTACAGGCACTGCATCGAAAAAATCTACCTCCTCCACGACCTGGCGCTGGTATAAAGGATTCGTAAAAGAGCAAGACGAAACCGTCACCCTAAACTTTTGAGGGCCTGAAAGGGGGAGAGAAAGCTCAACGGCAGGTCTGATCAAGAGAAGCATAGCGGACCTTTGTCTTTGTCCACCCTGACAGCGAGCTTGCCTGATACTGCCATCCCGGCATCACATATCCAACCACACCCATGTCTCTCGTCTCAGCAAAGAACGGCCTTATGGCGCTGCTGCGCGGCAGCAGCAGGGGCGGCCAGAAGGCGACGACGACGACGACGGCGCCCGCCACCATCACCACACCCAGCGAGCACGCGCCGCTGCTGAAAGCCAACGTCGATCAGAACGACTACGGCGTCGGCGGCAGCAGCAGCAGGGGCAGCAGGGGCGACAGGGAATACGACTCTGACGACGACCTCGAGTCCCAGACCAGCACGCTCGCCTCGTGCTGCAGCGGCGCGTCGTCTGCAAATCCCAGGTCGCGCGTCAGCGCCCGCTTCATCTCGGACGCCACCATCGGCCTCTCGGACGGCCTGACGGTGCCGTTCGCCCTCACGGCGGGCCTGTCGGCGCTGAGCGACACCAGGATCGTTATTTACGGCGGCATGGCCGAGCTAATCGCGGGCGCCATATCCATGGGGCTGGGTGAGTGGGACGACGGCATTGGTTTTTTTTTCTTTCCGAAGCGATAACGTGCTGACTGGAAGATCTTGTTTCGTCTTTGTGCAGGTGGCTATCTTGGGGCAAAGAGTGAAGCGTAAGTTTTTTTTCTTTTACTTCCCTATCCCGCCCGCCACGTCACTCCTGATATTGGGATCCCATACAGCTTGTGCTAACTCCTGATCGCAGTGCTTCCTACGACGAGACGCTTGCGCAGACAAACGCCATGATCGAGACGGATCCCCAGGGCACTGTCGACGCGGTCCGCTCCGTCTTTGAACCTTACGATCTGCCCAAAGCGACCCTGGACGGGCTGGCGGACCACATCACGGCATCGCCCGACCTGGCAGGCTTTTTGATGAAGTTCCAACGCAAGTTTCCTTTTCCACAATCTCGACTTCTTTTTTTTTGTCTCGGGCTGAACATAGCAATCTAACAACCGCAATCACACGACAGACTGCGAGGCCGAGCACTCGCCCTCGCGCGCCTTCCTGTCGGGCCTGACCATCGCCATGGGTTACTTCCTGGGCGGCCTGCTGCCGCTGCTGCCGTACCTTTGCGTGCCGCGCGACGACCTGGCCGCCGGCTTCGCCATCAGCGTCGCCGTCATGGCCGTCGCGCTCTTCTCCTTTGGCTACGCCAAGACGTGCATGGTCAGCGGCTGGCGCGGGCCCCGCTCCGTCAGGCGAGGGCTCGTCGGCGGCCTCCAGATGGTCGTCGTCGGCGGCGCCGCGGCCGCGTCCGCCATGCTGCTCGTCAAGCTGTTCAACTCGTTTGTCGACGGGGACGAGCCTGGGCCGTCGTCTGTTTGAGGATGTCCTTTTTTACTCTCCTTTTCTGGACGACATATCATCGTCTACGGTCTTGTCTTGACATTTAACCGGAGTCTCGGGCGTTCTGGACAAATCCTCCTCTCCGCATGGGGTATCTATAGGGGGGACAAAAGCGAGCACAGGGGATACAACATTGTGTTTTCCATGGTTTAAAAGTATGAAAATTAGACATGAACATTATGTAGGTTAGGTACCTACCTACCTACACATATAATGCACTTATATCCTAAATATGTCCAATGCGTCGTGATTGCCCCTTGGCCCGCGCCATCTCGACATGCTCCATATGCCAAACCCCTAAGCGGCCCCATTAGGAAACCCCTCAACCCGGACGGCCGGCAACCTTGACGGGGTGGGCCTCGGTGTTGTAGACCCAGCCATTGGTCCTGTCGCGCTTGAGCTGCCACGGCGCGTCGTCGGCGTGGATGAGGTACGAGTACTTGAGCGTCTCGGCGAACCAGAAGCTCTCCTGCGTGTCCTGCGGGACGCCGCCGCCGGGGGCGTTGACGTCGCCCAGCGCCGTGTAGCCCACGCCCTGGGCGCACGTGGCGTTGATGGCCAAGAAGGCCTCCCAGGCCCACTCCTGGTACTTGGGGTCGCCCGTGGCGCGGTAGGCGTAGTAGTACGACTCGATCGCCTCAGGCCGCAGCTGGTAGCTGCCCCCGCCGCCGTCGCCGGGCGAGATCCAGAAGCCGGACCGCCCATAAAAGGCCGCCAGCTCGGCCGGCGGCGCCGGGTTGTTCGTCGTCGTCTCGCCCGCCACCTGCCACCGGAATACCTCGGGCCCGATGCCCGTCGCCGTCTGCACGTACGTCTCGCGGCAGGCCTTGGTCAGCTCGAGGCCGAAGTCGACGTACTTTTGCTCGCTGAGCGTGAGGCCGCCCAGGATGAAGTTTCCGCCGGCGAAGCAGGCCACTTGAATGGGGCGAATAGGGGAAGTTAGCTATCAGGCAGGTTCATTCATTCGGCACGGCACTAGTCACGTAAGAGGATCTCGGTTACATACGGTGCTGTGACACGTAGCGCAGGGTTGTGTTCTGATAAAAGGCCAGGAACGTCAGGTCGGGCCGCGTGGACGGGTGCGACACCAGGTACTTGATGCTCGAGTCGGCCGCGACGATCCAGCGGTCCTTGTAGCCGGCGAAGCGCTCCGGGTCGTAGAGGTACATCTTGATGAGGTACTCGTAGAAGCTGTCGCTGCCGCCGCCCCAGCCGCCGCGGCCGTCGACGAAGAGGCCCGTGGTGACGTTGACGTCGAGCCCGAGCAGGCCCGGGAACGGCTCGCCCAGGGCGGGTTTCGGGTCGAGCAGGTACGACTCGGCCTTTTGGGCGAGCGCGCCGAAGACTGGGTTGCCCGTCTGGTCGCTCAGGCGCGTCCACTCGAGCACCAGCGTGCCGATGGTGGCGATGCCGTTGGTCTGGCTGCCCGACAGCCGCGCTGGGTTCAGGAAGATGGAGTTGTCGGGCACGCCGCTGGGCGTATCGAAGGCGAACTTGATGTTCGTCGCCAGCCGCTCCGCCTGCGCTAGGACCGCCTTGGCCGTGCTGGCGTTTGTGGTCTTGTACTTGCCCGACGAGTCGGTCAGGAGATCGTAGGCTGCCGGGCATGGTCGGGGCCTGTCAGTATCTGCCCATTCTAGCTCTTTCCAGTGGACCTAGAAGTTCACTGTTCAACTCGCCCCTCCCCCGAGTGCAGGTCTACGCCACGGCCGCCTTACCTGATACAAGTCCGCCGAGGTAGCGGATGGTTGTCTCAAAGAGGCTGACCTCCGTCTTGGTGGTATCAAAGTTGATGGTGGGAACAAAGTCCAGTATCTGCTGGACAATGTCGTCCTCGGACATCAACAGCCCAGTGCTGAGCGCGTCGATGGCGCTAGCACCCCAGCCATTACTGCGAATGCCGGCGTCAGTTCCGGAACGGCAGGTCGAGACAAAAAAAAAAAAAAAAAAAGCCCTGGGCCACCACCTACCGGTCGTCGTCCCACGATTTCGAGATGGGCTTGAGGCTGTCGTGGGGGAAGGCATATTGGTAGTAGCCGTCCCAGCTCCTGCGGAACGCCTCCTTGACCGCGGCCGCCCGCTCCGGGTTCGGCTTGTAAGTGACCTCTCTCCGCACCGGCGCCGGCGATGCCAGGGCACCAGACGCAGCGATCCCTAGCAGTAGGGAGGCTACGTGCCGGAGCCGCATGCAGCGCATGGCTGTGTCAAGGCTTTTTGCCGCGCGTGGGCGTGGGGCTTTCGGTAGAGACCGTTGGTGGAAGGGCGTAACGAGAGCTGCGGCGCGGAAGCCAGCAAGAATTGGCCGGGCCTGGCTTGAGAAAATGAGCTGCAGCAAAGGCAGATGAAAAGGAGAGGAAGAAAGCACCCAGGAAAGAATTTTCGGATAACACCGTTGTTATACGAGCTGGAGCCTCCCCCCC